TAAATACAATATCATTGCACCCATTACATTGCAAATATTCTAATATTTGTACAGATAAGAGCTTTAAATGATTTACATTGATTCAAATTCCACTCATTTCACTAGTAAACATCAAGGAGTGAATTAAAAGTATTTATGTAAATGGTAAAATCATTTTAAAGATCCCCAGAATTTGTTTAGTTCACTGTCACCTATCCCAGTGGTTTTAAAGGGCTAGTCTTCAATGCTACGTAAACAGAGATTTAATGGGGTCGCAATCGAATGACAATTGTGTGATTAACAAATTGACACCACTAACCTAATGCACTAACTAGGGGAACTGGAACTTGGTTGCTGTTTAGTACTCCAGATAATGGATCCCCTGGGCACCGTTTAGTAGATCTCCCTTTTTTGAAGTTATACTTTTTGTTTGCGTATCCCTTTATATCCTTAGATTGGTGAAAGGTACAGCCCCTCTTCCTCATTTCTTATACCAGTGGAGCTTTCCTGATGTTAGTTTCCCCTTGTGAGATACTATACATCACTTCTCCTGTTTCCAGCAATACGTGAATGCTTATCATAAGTGATACATTAACATAAATTCAATTTTTCTTTTAATTGTTCATTAATGGGCAACCCACTTATTCAGACACCACTAATGACTTTTAAAACAAACTTTGACGGATTGTTTCAATAAACTCGGACTTGCAGCAAATTGAAAACCAGATTACAAAAGTCAGACTATAGTTCCACTACATTTCAAATCTGCATTGAGTTACAAACTCTGCCTATCTCAGGCTCACGGCTTAGAGGGAACATTAAATTCTTAAAAACCGTGTCTGTGAGTGGTGTTGCAGCTTAATGTACGGGTGTCAAACGCTGGAGTTTGCACGAATCAAATATTCCTAGAGCTATTGAGAGGGTGAGAGTTATTTCTCCTCTTCCAAGGCTAGAATATTCATTAAAAGTTATTAGAGGGAACACTATCAATTCACTTATTTCTACGGTTTTACCCAGTTCGTGGTATGGACTGCAGCTCCCTATTTCTTTGTGCATGGGTCATTAATGCAAAGTTTGGTTTCCTGGGGAGCATGAAAGCTTTCCTAATAACCTTATCAATTATAAAAATATTTTAACTGTTTCTAAATCACTTTCAACTAAACTTTGTGCAGGAGAATTTCTCAGGAATCATCACGCACTGTCGATTATACCCCCTTTCATTCAGCCAATTGTATTTACATCTAAACTTGTTCATAAAATATTTAAGTTTTAGGCTGTCAGAAAGCTTTTATGAGTTCAATGCGCGTTCTTCTTTCAGTCGATAATCCAAAAGACTGTACAAATCAATTATGCTATTTCTAGAATAGCTTTTTAGCAGCCACTCTGTCAGATTAAACACAAAAGGACTTTGATGTATTTTATGTTATCTTAAAAGAATATTGTTTGTGACCGAAATTAATTGTTAGATGAGCTTAGTTTGTGTAATAAAACAAAAGGAAGAATTATTTTTACATTCTCTCTTCTATCGGCCAAGTGTTAATCTGATGGATTGACGATGAAATGTCAGATATAAATTGCAATTCCCTGCAGCCAATCATTTAAATGGAAATCACCTTCTAGTGTAAGAATTCCAGGAGTTTAAAATTAATTAAAAGACTGACAGACAAGCTCACAGAGTCTATTTACTAAACAACAGGATGATGTGAGAGGACAATTGTGTTTCCAATATTCTTGCCAAAAAACACCAGGGTGAAAAAAAGCTATCTATCTATCTATCTATCTATCTATCTCTCTCTCTCTCTCTCTGTCTATCTCTCTATCTATCTGTCTATCTATCCTATCTATCTATCTATTTATCTCTCTCTCTGTCTATCTATCTATCTCTCTCTCTGTCTATTCTATCTATCTATCTATCTATCTATCTATCTGTTGGTCTGTCTATCTATCTATCTATCTATCTATCTGTATATCTATCTATCTATCTATCTTTCTCTATGTCTATTTGTCTGTCGGTCTGTCTGTCTGTCTATCTTTCTCTATGTCTGCTTGCTTGTCAGTTGGTCGGTCAGTAGATATATCTATCTATCTATCTGTCTATCTATATTTCTATATATCTGTCTGTCTCTCTATCTGTCTGCCTGCTGTCTGTCTATATTTCTCTATGTCTGTCGGTCAATCTATCTATTTATCTACCTATTTCTATCTTTCATCTATCTGTCTCTCTCTATATATATCTAGCTCTCTTCATATATCCATAGGTATGCTCTACTCGGTCTCTCCGCTCTGCCGTGACGCTACTCCTGTCCACTACTCGCACCCGTATGGTGAACTCATGCTTGCAGGACTTCTTATGGGCAGCTCCCTTTCTATGGAATAGACTCTTGCCTAGTCTTCAATCGTTTAAGAAGTGCCTTTAAATCCATCTCTTTAGGAAAGCTTATGGCCTCCCAGAGTAACCTCTACCTCACACTCTACCTCTACCTCTCCTGCTCTCTCCTATAGGGCAGTGTTTTACTCTCTCCTCCAGCTCTGCCTCACTCCCACCTTATTTGACTGCTTTTTCCTGTCCTAATGTGTTTTATACCCCACCTCCTATAGACTGTAAGCTTGTTGGAGTAGGGTCCTCTTCAACCTATCGTTCCTGTAAGTTTTTATAATTGTCTAATTTTTTTGTTAAATCTCCCCCTCTGATGATATTGTAAAGCGTTACGGAATATGCTGGCGCTATAGAAAATGGCGATAATAATAATAATGTGTTAAAAATGGGTTACATTGATTTAATTCACCAATATTGCTAGTTTTTGTAGAAGATGATTATTGAGTAGGAATGTTCTCCCCATGGAGATATATATTTTTTAAGTAAAAAGTTTAATTTTGGACCTAAATAGCTAAACTAGATAAAATCTTCAAATACATTGAATTGGAGATCGTGTTCACGTGATTTATATCTTAAAGGGACACAATACTCACCAGAACAACTACACTTTAATGTACAGTATGCAGCTTAATGTAGTTGTTCTGGTGAGTATAATCGCTCCCTTCAGGCATTTTCATGTAAACACTGTGTTTTCAGAGAAAAGGCCATGTTTACATTTCCCCTAGGGACACCTCCAAGTGGCCACTCCTTAGATGGCCACTGGAGGTGCTTCCTGGGGCAGTGCTGCACAGTAGGCAGCACTGCCGTTCAGCGCTGAATTTTCCTCATAGAAATGCATTGATTCAATGCATTTCTATGAGGAGATGCTGATTGGCCAAAGCTGATTGGCCCCACCCCCTTGTCAATTTTAGCCAATCCAATGCTTTCCCCATGTCAGTTCGTCAATTCTGTATGCAATTTGTGGAACTGCACTCAGACCCTTCTTCTCAGGAATCCTTGGGTGCTAATTCGTCAGTTCTGATGATGTCACCAAGGGGGCGGAGGTGAGTTTTATTAACTTTTAATGGGGCTAACTGAGGGGGGGGGGGGAGTGAGGCAAGCCACCTAAATGGTGGGTTTAGCTTTACAGGGTCAGGGATACATTAACCTGTAAGTAATCACAATTCACCTATGAATCATTAAAATATCCTTTATTTAGATTTTGTTTCGGGTGTTTCAGTATTACATTGTTGATTGACAAATCAGATTTCGATTCACTACAATGAATAAACCTTAAATTTTAGTAAATAAATTCTATTGTGTTACAAAATGAAACTGTACAAGACTATTAAAGGTGTTACAGCATTCTGCCCTATGGATCGTGGTTAAAAGTAATTAACAATACCTATCAGGCTAGCGTTTCACGCTCATGAATAGCTTAAAATATGAAATAAATTTGTTTACTGAATTGTAACTCTCCTACCTTAATCTTAATGCCTTTTCAAGAATTCCATTAAATTCCATAGATTAATAAGAGATTGTGCGGTAGTGTCCATTACTGATTAATTTATAATAGGATGGCATTATATCTACATCTATGGTTATTGCTGCATGCTAATTTTCTGTGGAATGCACTGAATTGTTTTAAATTAAAATATTCTTTCACAATAATATATATACAGGAACACAGGATATCCTGCTACAGACTAGTATGGTGTGTACATATGGCTGGCAGAACGATAGATCAACCAGATGATGTAAAACAGCTCTAAAGGGATACTCCGCTGTCTGAAAATATACAAAGAGAAACCACCATCTAGTACAGGCATCCTCGAACTCCGGCCCTCCAGATGTTGCTGAACTTCAACTCCCATGATTCTATGAATGAACTAGATAGGCTGAGAATCATGGGAGTTGTAGTTCAGCAACATCTGGAGGAACGGAGTTTGGGGAAGCCTGATCTAGTAGATTTACATGCATTTATTTAAAGGGATACTGTAGTGCAAGGAATACAAAGCTGTATTCCTGGCACTACCAATCTTATTAGTGTCATTCATGAAAAGACATGAATAAAACTAACCACATAGTTGCTGATGCTACAGGCTCACTTAGCTTTTTGGTTTTTCATTGATGAAGCCAGCTGCATTATGTAGTAAAGTGAGAATTCAAAGTGGATTTAAATTTAAGGCCAGAGTATTTGAACTGAAAGCACAGCTGACTTCAAGATTTTTTCCACTTTGACTATTTTTACCTTAATATTTAAATTCTCTGTTTTGTGAATAAACCTGTATTTGTGACTGAGCCAGCTGTGAACCATAGAAACAGAGTTAATTTGTGTTTTCAGTCCTGCCCTCCTACCCCCTTACGTACCTCCAAAACCCTGTAGTAAACTAATTAGAGGCCCTCCAAGCTTTGGGAGGGGGTGGAGCCTAACCAGCAAGCCGTTTGGACATGTGCCGAGGGTGTTCTAGCGATTGCACCTAATCTACTGGGGTTAACCCCAATCCACGACCTGCAATTGACACACAACAGAGTTGGGGAGAAACAGACACTCTTCTCACTCTCTCCGTTCATCGTGCAGCACTATCTTTTTCTGACCCCCACCCTTGGACCCCCCACTGGTTTGATGCCCCATACATTAAAGACGTGATGATCCTACTCCAAAATGTCAGACACAACTACTCTTGCACTACAAAGCATGGCCTCACAAAGCCCTGATCACTATGGTCCTTGCAGTGTAACCCTGGCATCACTGGAGGCTATATTTGAGAGGTTCTGGGCTCGACTTAAAGACAGTCTGGCAGCAACTGGGGGAGACTCAGACCAGAAGAGTCCCCTCCGGACAAAGCTACCACAAGGTTGCAATATCCAATCTTTACTTGCCTGCTTGAGTTTACCCCCACCCACACCGCCTGTCCACAAAAACAGAGGACCGCCTGCTGGAATTACAAGGGGTATTATGGCTGTAACGTTAGGAATACAGTGTTCCTTTAGTTAAAGGACCACTCTAGGCACCCAGACCACTTCAGCTTAATGAAGTGGTCTGGGTGCCAGGTCCAGCTAGGGTTAACCCATTCTTTCATAAACATAGCAGTTTCAGAGAAACTGCTATGTTTATGAATGGGTTAAGCCTTCCCCCTGTTTCCTCTAGTGGCTGTCTCATTGACAGCCACTAGAGGCGCTTGCGTGCTTCTCACTGTGATTTTCACAGTGAGAACACGCCAGCGTCCATAGGAAAGCATTGTAAATGCTTTCCTATGAGACAGGCTGAATGCGCGCGCAGCTCTTGCCGCGCGTGCGCATTCAGCCGGCGGGGCGTAACGGAGGCGGAGAGGAGGAGGAGAGCTCTCCGCCCAGCGCTGGAAAAAGGTAAGTTTTTACCCCTTTTCCCCTTCCAGAGCCGGGCGGGAGGGGGTCCCTGAGGGTGGGGGCACCCTCAGGGCACTATAGTGCCAGGAAAACGAGTATGTTTTCCTGGCACTATAGTGGTCCTTTAATAAATGTATATGTCTTTTTACGGCTGCATTCAGTGTTAGACACATCCAGAGCGCAGTTTAAATATCCACCCATGTGACAGAAGTCACCTTTCTTAGCAGCAAAAACACCTCTACAGCCTCATTAGCATCAGTAGCAGCCTCTAACAGGTGGTGTCAAAATATTTTGGGAGAGATTGGGAAATAGTGGGAGTTACCTGTTAATTCTTACCTAAAGCATTGTTTACTAAAAAACATCATGTTTTGTATTTATAATTAATTGAGTTTTATTGATTTATCCTGCGTTTTCACAGTTATGGCTTTCTTTGTGAACTATCGTATTTATTTGCATGTTTGCACAATGTAAATATACATTTTCTGATAAGGAACAAACAAAAAGGAAATATTTAATTAAACAAAATAAAGATTTTTTTTAAATTGAATTTCTCTCTAAAACTAAAGTTTGCAAACAGGATTACCACAGTCAGATAAACACGGTTCTACAGCCGGATTTTGTAATGACGAAGTGCTAAATAGATCTGATTAATGAGCTGAATGCAGCAGATGGAACTGCAATGGAACTAATTGCCTGGTCTCAATAAACCTCTGCATAACTTTCTATAGAGGAGAACGCTTATGCGTAGCTATCTACTTAATATTTCGTTGAAATAATACAACATAACTTAACTCTTGGATAAAAACAGAAAAATAATAATAATAATAATAATATGAACATTATCCTAAATCCCTATGAACATTTATATTATAGAGGCTTTTAGTACGACCTCAGATGTTGAGGTTAGGACGCTATCAAATATTCTGTACTCTGCCCTCGGTTTTTACGTCCAAGATGCATTATCTTGCACTTATCCACATTAAATGTCAGTTGCCACAATTCTGACCATTTTTCTAGTTTACCTAAATCATTTGCCATTTGGCTTATCCCTCCTGGAACATCAACCCTGTTACATATCTTAGTATCATCAGCAAAAAGACATACCTTACCATCAAGACCTTCTGCAATATCACTAATAAAAATATTAAAGAGAATGGGTCCAAGTACAGATCCCTGAGGTACCCCACTGGTGACAAGTCCAAGCTTCGAATATATTCCATTAACTACAACCCTCTGTTGCCTGTCACTCAGCCACTGCCTTACCCATTCAACAATATTGGAATCCAAACTTAAAGATTGCAGTGTATTGATAAGCCTTCTATGTGCAACAGTGTCAAAAGCCTTACTGTAATCTAGGTAAGCAATGTCTACTGCACCACCCTGATCTATAATTTTAGTTACCCAATCAAAAAAATCAATAAGATTAGTTTGGCATGATCTCCCTGAAGTAAACCCATGTTGTCTCTGATCTCGAAATCCATGTGTTTTTAGATGTTCATCAATCCGATCATTTAACATGGTTTCCATTACTTTCCCCAATACTGAAGTAAGGCTTACTGGCCTATAGTTGCCCGACTCCTCCCTACTACCTTTCCTGTAAATGGGCACAACATTCGCTAACTTCCAATCTTCTGAGACTACTCCAGTTAACAATGATTTCTTTAATAAATCTGTTAATGGTTAATGGTAAGACTGGGGGTCTTAATTAGTATAATGCACAGCATTCCCACTCAATTAGGACTCATTGATATTGTAATAGTTTAACAAAGAGGTGAGCATAGCACAATATGGTCAGATAATTGAATCCATATAGATTTTTTCACTTGAGATAGTTATATTTAAATAACCTGCAATGATTGGAAAATTCATTTTTGTGTTTTTGACGTTTCTTGATTATAGATTTTGCAGAAGTATAATATAAACTAAAGTCGTTTTAGCAGTACTGTTATAAAGCAATGTAGGTTTTGGGCAGCACTTGCAATTCCTTTAATACTGTGACAGACCCATCTGTATGAACTAGAATTGCTGTGTTCGTCTGTTTTGCCGTTTGTATGAATTTCCCCATTCGTATGCCTTGTTTAAGGGAATGTATTTTTTTGTCGAACGGAACTACCAAACGGACGGCCACCCAGAAGAGAAGTGTGCTGCTGGTTAACCTATTGATCCCAATTAGAACGTTGCGGTTAACCACAGACACTTCTCAATTAAAACAGGGTGGTCGTCGTTCGTATGTCGACCACGAGGCGGTGGCCATTTTAACCATGCGAAAGACCAGCAGTGTTCGACGGTTATTTCATGGAACTAAAAACTGACACTTTTTCAACCGAACACCGCTGAAGCCGTCGACCTCCCTTCTCAATCGACAGAAGTATGCTAACAACGGCCGTTTGAGAGGTTTAAAGGCACGAATGGACTTACCCCAGATAGCCTTCCCATGGAGTCAATCGCATACCGAAGAACTGTAATAGACTTTGACTCCATGGTGATTGAACTGTGCGTATGGGATCTGAGCGTTATTCGCCAATAATATGCACTCAGATCCAGGCTATCAGGGGACGTGTTATACGAATGTAATATGTTCGGCAGTTATAAAGTTATGTATTTTTATGTGTTTTGTGACTTGTATTTAAAATGGCAATTTGCCTCTGCTCTGGGAGATAATTGAATTACTTCTCAATTATCTCCCGAGCAGAGGGGAGGAAACTGTGATGCATGCTGGGAATATTGTGGGGTTGTATGTCTAAAATGTCCCCATGTCCTTCTGCTATTCCAGTCTCCCATTTGGTCCCCTAGGGGAATGTCCACTAAGTGGGAGACCTGCATAAATACGGGCAGGTAGCCCACAGTAAACTCAGTTCGTGTTTTACCCTCAAAGCGGAGCTTGGTCTCGTTATTGGGGGGATTTTATTACCGGCGACTAGAGACTACTCTTTGGAATTATTTGCCGCTTGGAAGGTATTGGCGTTTGGCTGATATTGGCAGTTCGTGTATTTGGAGCTCGTGAAGGGAAGGAGCCGTACAGGTACCGTTCGGGAGGTTGGAGTGTTCCCTGGCTGGCGGTTCGCATGGTTATACTGCATACGCTACCAGACCACATTATTGCGAACGGGGAGCATTCACTAAACGGTGGTTTGTACATTTATTACTGAAGGTACCGTAACAAATACATTTAGAGATTTGCGCAGACACAACCCCATCCCCTTCAAGAATGCCCCCATCAAGTATAATGCACCGCCCTTGAGGAGCGATATTGGCCTCTGTGCGCACAAACCCCAATGGAAATCTAGTGATTTTCCTGATAAATATATATCTAAACACAATTATTCCTTAACATGGAATTATCTTCTTTTTCCATTCTAGAATGAGTTGTGTAACAATACCTCATTTTCTCTTTTTATTTACAACACACAATGCACCCATTCTTTTTCACCAGTGTCAAATGAGAACATGTTCAGAAATAGCTTTCAAATTGACGTACATGATCTCTTCTTTGTAATTTTAAATTCAAAACCATGACCTTGTTATTTTAACACAAAGATAAATTAATATGCAAATGATATGCATGTCAAGCTCAAGAATGATTCACTAAGTACTTGAATAGTACAGGAATAAACAAGCCCTACAGAGATCATGTGAGTTTAGTAAATTGAGGTGACAGTGTCACAGAAGGAGATGTGCATGTGAGTTAATTTTCAGAATCTGCAAACAACAGCAGACATCCGAAGCCAATCCTCAAGTTACGGCACAACCTCAAAATATTAAAACACTCACGTTACAATTGGCCTGAAGAGAATACTTGTAATAATATGCCAGTGTTTTCATTTCACCGTAACGCAGATTAGCAGTACCTGGGGTGACAATTTTAAAGACTATTTTTGAAAAGTAGGATTAACAATAAAAGCTAATATTTTAGCATTACTAGTGGGTTAGCATTGATTTTTAAATGCAATGTAGTGTTAAAACTATTATAAATAAACCCCCAAAATTATCTTTCCATTTCTGTCATTCATGAAACATCAGTCTGTCTGTAAATCTGTCTCTTTCTCTCATCGTTAACTCTTACCCCTAACAGTGATGGAATATCACGACACTTTAACATTACAGGGCAGCATTGGACATCACACAACCAACTTTAATGTCAGTTTCCATGTATACATAAGATAATAAAGTATCTTGATTAAATGGACACTCTAGGTACCATCATCACTTTATCTCTTTGAAGTGGTAATGGTGACTGGAGTCACCTGACATCATCCCACAGTTTAGTGTAACACTGAATGAGTCTAAGTGACTGAATGACTAAAATAGAGATGCAGTCCGCCTGAGTCATATCAACTTGTGTCCCTTGCTGTGGCGCGTTGAGAGTGGTCAACTAATACTCTCAGCCAATGCAACCCACTGCTATTCGCGCAAATGCTGAATCAAGACTAAGCAGCATGTGGACAAGTACCCTTGTTCAGTCTAAAGCCAATTAAATACAGTTTAATATTGAGCCATATTATAGAGCCAGAGAACTTTCAAAAGTACTGACGACAGCTCACAAGAATGGTTTGTGCTGAGTTGGAATTTAAACCTCAACAGCTAACCTGGTTACCAAACATTGTCTGCAGTAACTTTGCATTACGTTATTTGACATTAAACTTACCCATACCACATTTTGTCCATTTTCATTGTATATATCTGATATTTTTTGTGTTTTTTTATTTTATAACTTTAAGCAAATGTAAAAAACAATGAGTTTGACAGATCTTTTTATATTTTCTACATTTGTTTGCAATTCTTCCCGGATCTCCAAGGGGTTATTCTGATAGATGATGTTTCAAGAAAATATACCAAATTTTTGTTATTCTCAGCATCTTTCTTCATGATAATGAGACTGTGAAGAGGGAAGGTTAGGCTAGAATATAACTACTTCAGGTATACGTCTAACCTTCTCTGAGGGCAACATAAGCCCATAACAATTACAGTGTTTGTTACAGCAATAATGAACGGAGGTAATTAGACTGCCGTGGATAGAATTACCTGCACTTTGTAACATATGCTCATTAAATTAGTTTGGCAAAAGCAGATTCTAACAGCCTGAGAACATATTAAAAGAAATTCAATTAATCCATTAAATAACCATGATGAGATTGTTACGTGGATAGGTAATTTTGTCATTTGGTGTTTGCCAACTCACAGTGAGATTAATATCTATAACTAGGTTAATGGTAGTTTTTTTTTTCTTGGTTAAAAATTGATAAACCCCTGCACATGTTAAATGGATAATATTTGTTTAGTAGAATGTTTCTGACAAAATAATCATCTTATCTTGTCAAATCATTTTAAAGTTGCAAATCCAATATACTGAACGCTCTTCATAATTTATATAGCATTCTATTGATCTATAATTAGTGCATCAATCTTTATGATAAGGGGAAATAATTAAACTAGCTAGTTTTTTAACTTTGAAATACTCTTCACGTTTCCTGACTGTCACAACAATTTATCGGGGAACTATGTTCATATCACCTCCATCCCCGATGTTCTCTGTTCCACTTCTGAAACATTAGTTTCCAAGAAAAAAAGGATGTAACGGCACCCCCAGGCATAAAAGGGTTAAACCGCCGTTTAGTAGATCTTCCCTTCCAGAGACACAGGCACAGCTACTGCAGAACACCAATCCGCCGAACAGGAAACCATACGAATGCTGTAAACAGCCGAATAGGAAAAAACATACGAATAGGTTTACACTCCTAGCAGTCAAACTGGAACAGCATACAGTAAATCCTCCCAAGAGCGAGACAAAGCTCCGTGTTGAGGGTCAAGCAGTGAACAGACAGAGCTGTGGGTTTATTGTTCTTATATACACATTAGTACCACCCACAGGATTTTGGAACACAACCAATAAACACATACAATACACTCAGACACTCCCACACAAATTCCTCCCCTCTGCATGTGATTCAATTACCTTACACAATGGGTAATGTAATTTAGCACAAGCAGAGAAATACAATTTTTCCACATTATTCATAATTTGAAACATAAAATTTACATTTTCAGAATCAGTTTACTCCAAATACAAACATACGTCAAAATCATACAAATTGGTCCAGTGGTTCAAAAGATAGATCGTAGTCCTTTGTGACCACAGGAAGCATGGCTTTTCTGCCCAAAACCAGTTCCACAGAGTCTTCTATCCTGGATATAATTAGAAGTAATCCAATTATCTCCAGGACAGAGGCAAAACTCCATTGAACACATGGCAGCAAAAAGACAGTAAAATACAATAAAATACACAAGGTTACATTTATGACATAAAATACAGACATGCAACATATGCCCAGATAGCTTAGGTCTGAGCGCACAATACTGAATGGCGCTCAGACCACAAACACATACAGTTAAATTGCCATGGAGCCAAAGTCTTTTATTAATAGGCTCCATGGCATAGCTATCTGGGTTATATGAGTTCATTCAGTAAATCCGAGAATCTACCGAACGCCAGGGCAGAAAACATGAATAGACCTTTCTGCATAGGAAAATAGGGTATTTAAATGCCGGTCCATAGTCAAAAGGCAGCAGGCAGGCAACCAGGCTCCTCCAATGCACAGTGGTGAGATGGACTCGTCACAAAGGAGTATGACCATTAGTGGAAGAAAGAAAGCAGCTGACTCTCTGCTGTGGAACCCCTAGCCAGTTGCCACCTAGGCCACCGCCTAAATGATCTAATGGAAGCACCAGCCCTGTCTGAAGGCCCGGCTCTACCTGTGAGGGGATAGATGTTTGGCCCTGTGCCCAATCCCCTGCTTGAGAGAGCTTTGTGGCATCCAGTACTGCAAGTGAGGCCTCACCAGTGTTCTGTACAATGGCATGAGCAATTCCCTCTTTCTACTGCTAATGTTTTAGAAACCACTGTGGTACTCCGCAGATGTGGCCAATTAGTAAAAAAAGTTAGCATTTAGTAATTATAAAAAAGGAAGATAGAGAGATCTATAAGATTAGGCAGAAAGAGGCTAACGAAGTTATAAGAGCTTCCAAATCACACACAGAAGAGAAAATAGCACAGTCAGTAAAAAAAGGGGACAAAACATTTTTAGATATATAAATGAGAAAAGGGCAGTAAAACAAGGATTAGTTAGATTAAAAACAAAAGAAGGGAGGTATGTAGAAAAGGATAAAGGTCTAGCTGACTGCCTCAATAAATATTTTTGTTCAGTATTTACAGATAAAAATGAAGTAAAGTATATTGATCTGAGTGCTCAATATAACCGAACAGCGCTCAGATCTCATACAGACAGTCCAATCGCCATTTTGCTGAAAGTGTGTTCATTGTGTGTTCAGCAGAAAGTATGAGCTCCATGGGTTTAGCTATCTTGGACAGTTCCGTTCATGGATTGTCAATATACCAAACGGCACGGTGTTTGTATGAACTAGAACGGAGAGATGGATAGTTGGTGATCTCAGTGGTGTTCGTGGGAAACAGTGTCCAAAATTAGTATTTGTCAACGAACACCACTGGGTGTTCAACTGTCCATGATGGCCACCGCCACATGTTCATTCATAAGAACGACAACCACCCAGCCGACCGTTCAGGAGTTGGAAGTGGCTGCGGTTAACCACAATGTTAATAAGGTCAGAAAGGTTAACGAGCAGCACACTACCCTTCTGGGTGGCCCGCCATTCAGTGGTTCATTTGTTTTTTTAGGGAATATAATCAGGAAACACACGAACAACCGGGGACTGGCGAACAAACAGACAAAATAGTCTTTAAATAATAATCCAGAGGCAGGGAGGTCTGCCACAGGAATCAACACAGTAAAGGAGGAGACTATATTTAAAAGAAGAAAAACTACCACAACAAGAGGACGTAGTCTTAAATTAGAGAGGCAAAGGTTTAAAAATAATGTCAGGAAGTACTACTTTACTGAGAGGGTAGTGGATGCACGGAATATCCTTCCAGCTGAAGTGGTAGAGGTTAACACAGTAAAGGGGTTTAAGAATGAGTTGGATAGGCATAAGGCTATCCTAACTATAAGATAAGGCCAGGGACTAATTAAAGGATTTAGAAAATGGGGCACACTAGATGGGATTTCAGTCTCCCGGCCACAGTGGAGGCTAAGATCACTCCTGTGCAAACACAATGTCAAAGTTGATTGCACTTTCTGCTCCATTTACACTGAGGTTGGGTGTGACATTAAACACATTTTTAAACTCCAATTGATTCCTAGTAGCCAATTAGGTCACAACTCAGCTCCTCCATAATATTGCATACTGCCGGTATATAAAGAAAAAAATAACACCCTGTAATGTGCAGTTTAAAGGAGCATTAAGGGGGCAGGGGGCTAGGGTCGGGCACTAAGAGACAGGGAAGGGAGGTGAGAGGGCAACTAAGGGAGGGGGAGTTGAGAAACACTAAGGGACAGGGGAAGGAAAAGAAACAATAAGGGGGGAGATCACTAAAAGAGGGAAGGGAGGGGAGAGGAACACTTAGAGGAGTGGGGGAGGAGCACTAATGGGGGTAGGGTGGACCACTATGAGACAGGGAAGGGAGTGGTACACAAAGGGACATGGAGGGGATCGGAGAGGAACACTAAGGGACAGCGAAGAGGACCAGTAAGGGGGGAGGGAGGAACACTAAGGGACAGGGGAGGGAGAGGAGAGGAGATAAATACTAAGGGATATGGAAAGGAGGGGAGAGAAACACTTAAGGGACATGGAGGGGACGGGAGAGGACCACTAATAGACAGGAAGGGGAGAGGAACACTAAGGGAAAGGGAGAAGACCACCAAGGGGCAGGAAGGGGAGAGCACTAGTAAGGGACATGGAGGTCAGGGGGGGCCTTAGTGGGGAAGAAAAACACACAGAGGGACAGGGGGGGTAGAAAAACACAAAGATGTAAGAGACACAGAGAAGGGCCTGGGGGTGGAAAAACAAAGGGGTTGGGTGGAAGAGACACAGAGGGACTGGAGAAGAGGAAAAAGAGACACAGAGGGGCTGGGGGGATAGACAGGCTGGTGGTGAAAAAGAAATACACAAAGGATCTGGAAAGACTAAAAAACACAAAGGAGCTTAGAGAAAAGGAGACACACAAAGGGGCTGGGGGGGAGTAAGACACACCAATGGGGGTGGTAAGAGATGCACAGGGGAGGTGTAAATAAATAGGGCATAATAGAGAGGATAAGATACAAATGGGGTTAAGAGGTACACAGGTGAAGATGTTTATTTGGGGGGGTAAGGGGTGCAGTGTGTATGAGGTATACAGTGTGTGTGAGGGGTGCAGTGTGTGCAGGAAGGTTGCAGTGTCCATGAGGTACACAGTGTGTGTGAGGGGGTGCAGTGTGTGTGTGTGAGGTATAGAATATGTGTGAGGGCTGCAGTGTGTGTGTGTGTGTGTGAAGTATACAGTGTGTGCATGAGGTATACAGTGTGTGAGGGGTATACGTGTGTGTGAAGGGTGCAGTGTGTGTGAGAGATATACAGTGTTTACATGAGGTATATAGTCTGTGTGTGGGATATACAGTATGTGTGAGGTAGTGCAGTTTGTGCGTGAGATATACTGTGTGTAGTGCAGGGCAGTGAAAAGGATCTCCAATGCTGGGTTCGGACAATGGGTATTGCAGTAGAGCCCCTATGCTCGTGGAGCCTGAGGCAACTGTTTACCATATATTATTAGTATAAGAAATTCAGTACATATGATTAGAAATATCTTCCAGATGCCACCCTGCGGTTACAGAAGTTGTTATAATCAGGGCCTGACTGAGCCTACGCTAAATCACAGCCATAATATTACTAAAATACCAATTAAAAAATTTGGTCTGAGATCCTGTTTTACTGGAAATTTCAGATTTCCAGTAAAATCAAATTTCAAATTTTAGCTCCTGTAAATCATTTTTTCCCCACACAATTAATTAACTGAGCCAACACTAATGCAACCTCTGAGCACAAACAGAGAGTGGGCACTGACTCACCTTATCAATGAAGGAAGCCAGTGGACTTCTTGTTCAGCCTGTCCTGAGAGGTCTTGATGATCTGCTCCTTCTTCTGGTTCCTGACCTGCTGGGTGATGAGTGGGGTCGATAGATGTCAGAATTCTCTGCCTGAAGAGGTGGTTTTATCAGAGTCTGTACAGATGTTTAAATGGCAACTGGGTGAATTCTTGCAAAAACATAACATACAGGGATATAATTTTTAACATGTGGTTTCTGACTGCCGTTCTGGGGTTAAGAACTGGGTTGTTTGTCTTCTTTTGGATGAACAGCAAAAACCAATGTGAGAAAGGCTGAACTTGATGGACGCATGTCTCTTTTCAGCTATGTAACTATGGAACTAAAATGAAGCTATTGGTTGTGCTATTAAAAAATATACATCTTTCCAGATTGTTATATTTTCCTTTGCATGTGGTGCTGGACAAAGCCAGGCAAAGTATGAAAATGAGTTAACTCTTGCAGTTTGGTACAAATGACTCATGTATGCGTACAACACTACTGGATAAAAGTATGAGCATTCAAGCGTGCATGCAGAATTTCTCTGTTAGATACCCAAACTTGCACATGTGTACCTGAGGAATCATGATACAGGTCACTGCACTGAGGGGAGTTTTGCTTTACTTACCTTCGATGTTTTATTCACCCCAGAAAATCCCCCAAGAAGGCATACTTGACAGATCGTTTTTAAGACCTGAGAAAAGGGATGGGTGAAGATTGTCTGCTATAAATAATGCAAACAATAACTTAAAGTGAATACAACAATATTTTTTAAGTATTTTTTGTCAGTATTGGTCTGACTCATTCAGAATAATCTATGATATTTTATGATCTCATTAACTCATCAGAACAGTTCATTTCTTTCAGAATAATA